ATTAATATTGATAAATATTATTACTGATTTATTGATTTTGGTTTTAGTATTAATTTTTAAATTTAAATACCAAATCAAAATTTTCAATAAAGTACTAATTAATTTCAATATTTTTTAAAAATATTGATTAGTAAAGTATTAATAAATAAAGTATCAATTTGATATTTTTCAAAAGTAACAATAAATATTAAGTAAAGATTTTTAATAAAAGTTACAATATATCAAATTATAAATACAGAGAACCTCTCCTAAATATACTTTCTCTAAATACACATCTCCTTTAAATGTATTCTTTTTTGTAATCCCAAGTTGGGTCAATAATATTAAATGCATCTTTTATATTTTAACAGTACAATAAATTTAATTCTTTAAATATATTTTATACAGTATATAAATTGCGAAGTTGACCAGAATTAATATAATTATAATTAATATAAAGCTGGGCAAAATTAAAGTGACTGACTGGAATTAATATAAAGCCAGGTAAAATTAAAATAACTGACCAGAATTAACATAAAGCCGGGCAAAATTAAGATAATTGGCCAAAATTAATATAAAATCGGGCAAAATTATGATAACTGACCAAAATTAATATAATGCCAGGCAAAATTATAATGGTTAATAGGAATTAATATAAAATTAAATTAAAAAAATATTTTTTCTTTAAATACATACCTTTTCTAAATGCACACTTGCTCTTGGTCCCAAGGATATGCATTTAGGGAGGGTTCTCTGTATATAAATATATTATAAAAAATTATTTTATTGTTATTAACTATTTTTTTTAAAATAGAAAAATTTAAAATTTATATTAACAGTTAAGGGACATTTCCCTCCCGTTGTTGTTACACACAATATAAATTGTATTATAAAAATAACATTTTGAGTCTTAATTAAGGGAAATGTCCTGTGACTATTAAATAATTTGATAATAATAAAGTTAGAAAATATTATTAAATAATATTATTATATTTTTAATTTTTTATTAAAGAAAAAATATATTATCTTATATTCAAAACTTTTTATAAATATAAAATTAATAGAAAATAATTTATTTCAGATTGAATCTGATAAAAATAATCTTTAAAAATATAAAAATATATTATTTAATAATACTTTTAATGATTTGTAATATTTAAAAATAGTTAAATATCCTAATAATATTTATCTAAATTTTATAAAACTAATTAATTAATATCAACTATTTAATATAATTTATAATATTATAATAAGTTTTTTTAATAAATATTTCAATTTGAATATAATATTATTGTTATTATTAATAAGAATTAAAAAGGAATTTTCAAACAATTCAATTATTTCTTATATAAAATTAAAAAAAATTCTATAAAAAATTTTGAGAATATTAAATATTGATTTTATTATTGATTAATAATTAAAATATATTAATAATACAGTAAGTCTTAATAAATTTCTTGAAAAAAAATTAATTGATTTTAATAATAATTATTATTAATAAAAAGTATTTTTTTTAACAATATTAAAAAGTAATAATAATATTTATTTTTATCAAATTTTCATAAAAATTTATCTTTTTTTAATGTTATTATAAGTAAAAAAAATGAAGATAAAAAAATTAATTGATATGGTTTAATAAGAATTAAGTTTAAATTATTAATATTAAATAATAGAAACTATTATATTAATTTGATATTTTATTTAAATATTGTTATTATTCAAATTTTATAAATTTGTAAATAGTAAATCATTTAAACTTTTTTATATTTATTGATATCAAGAAAATAATGAATTATAAAAATATTAGAAATTAAAATTATTTGAATAGTAGAGTTGTATACCAATAAATAGTATAGATAAAAACATACAGTATATATAATTTCAAGATTTGCTAAAACAAATAAACATTTAATAAATAAACTAATAAAAAATAATTTATATTAAATATTATTGTATAGCAATTATTAATTATTTTTTAATTTAATATATACCAATATATAGCTACATTATTAATATATACTAATAAATTTTAATCAATTACTAGTGATTATGAGTTGACTATTGACATATAGTTCTTTAAAAAAATTTCTTGATAATTATATCAAATATTCATATTTCAATTTAATCGATTACCAAGTATACAGTAAATAATAAAAATTAATTAAATGAATAATTAAAAAAAGCTTATTATTTTTTAGTATATTCAAATTATATGCAATATGCTATTTAAATTAAAATCATATCACAAATGATTATGTTAAATATGATTATATTTCTTTAATTTGGAAACATGATTAACTAATATATATTGTGTGTATATAATATAATATATATTGTATAAGATGATTTTGTTATAAATGTTTTATTTATATTTGTTGGTTTTAAAAAAACAGATACTGTTAAAATTATATACGTGTATACTATATACTGTATATATACTGTATATATTTTTATTGTTTTAATCTTTTTTTAAAATGGCAATTCAATAAAATCATTAAAAAAACATATTTTTTCTTTATGAATTGTTTTAATAAAGATAAAAAAAAAAGAAGTCTTATTTAATAAAAAAGTTGACAAATTAAATTAGCTTTTTCTTTACAAAAGATTTATTCCTTAGAAACGAGTCAAAGAGTCGAGAGAAATAGCAAAAATAGTTTCTTCGCATCCAGATCGACCTATAACAAGTTATTCTCACATATAAATCGTGTCGAACCTTTCTTTTTCTTCCGGTTCCTTCTCAGCCAATTTTTGTGGTGGTAACGTTGTGTTCAAAACTTTGTCCATTGAAATTATCGAGTCGTCACGTAATAATTTCTTTAACCCTTCAACCAAGTGTTTCAGTATTCCGATCTTTAATGTAATGGATGTTAGGGTTAAATCCAGTTTCAGATGCCGTATATTTTAAATTTGCGTGGTTACCTCATAAGAATTATCGCTAGCGTGTCTGCCATCAGTCCGTTTTCCTGGATACAGCAAACATCTTGTTTGAATGTATTCCACTTTCAACAAGGTGATGAACGTATTGAAAAAGTGATCTTGTAGTTTTGCAGTTGGGGATAGTGTTTTTATTATTCCTTCAGAAATTTAATCAATCATGTTAATGTCCAATCACTGACAGAAAATAATTGTCGAATCTATTGCGATTAAAGAAATAGATAATAAAAATAATAATTAATTAATAATTAAATACCTCCGTTTTCAACCTCAGTATCATTACTTGACAAACAACCCAAATATACAAACTCTTCTCTTTCCGAAAAATTCAAAGAAGCCACGATGATCACTTCCGATACTTCATGCATGCAGAAAAGTGTGATTAATGAATTTATGAAAAGAGTCGTTTTTGTTGGTGGTGGCAGTTTGTTGATTGCCAAGAAACTCGTCTAATTGCACAATAAAAACAATTGAATTAAATTATTTTCTTAAAATAATTAAAGGTGACATTTCTTCATTTTGAAAAAACACGAGATACTCAACATCCTCGGTATTAGTGACATTCAAGGGAATAATACAACTTGCGTCGTCGTTGTCATTGTTACTATCATTATATTTATATATGTGAGTATCGAAGTCGGTAATGCACCTTTCTTCAACTCCCGATACCACACGAACCCCAGAATTATTTAAATCAGGATATCCTAGGATAACCCGGTGCTTTAGATTCAAGTTTTCCATAATTCTTTATATTTCGTTTTAGCCAGGCTTTTTTGTGATTGATTGACGATCAAAGAATACGTAATACGCATATTAATCACATGATCCAAATCGAGTTTTAATAAGCGTCTCTGGGACTTTTAAATTTTATTAAGAATGATGGATCGAGGATAAAATGCACGGTTCATATTTTACGATCCTATCTCCAATTTTTTTATTTTCTCCTTGGTTTTTTTTATTTCGTTCTCCAACTCACCAAGCATTTCTGGAATTCAAAAAAAAAAACGGTTATTATCGGGACCGAAATCCTAAAACATAGACAAAACAATGTATACTCGACTTTTTTTATCATCTTTGATTAATTGTTTATTCTCCACGAAAAATATATTGGCATTTGTTTTTTGGCGATATATCGCCTATTAGACAAACCAATAGGAAAGTCATTTTTGCATGTTAAAGGAATGCGCCATAAAAGGGATAGTGTTGCCTTACTTACGGCGTTTGGTTTTACGTTTGACAATTCCGAAATTAATATATCAGTTTCTCGAAACTATACGTGAACGAGGTAAAAAAAAAAATAATATATGAATGGTAAACCATTATTTAAAGGAAATTAATTAAGAAGTGATGGTTACTTATGAAAAGAAAAGAATAAGGAGAATTAAAAATGATATAATTAAACAGTATAAAAGACCTTCGATTCGAGTTGTGCAAGTTTAATTTTTAAGAGCTGAATATCAATGTTGTTTTTTTCGACTGTAGACATTTTGTATAATTTGAAGTTAAAGCGTGCGAAAACGTTTTATTGTGATATCACATGCCTTTTGTATGACACGCGCAGTATGATGCAATATAAAAGCATTGTCAAATCTTACTAAGTTGATTTAGGTTGTTCCACTTTTCTCCACCCATCCCACAACATTTGATACCAAACGAGAACTGGATGAACTACCAATCAACTTGTAAAGATCGAATTATTCTTGCAGTTGAGGGTTAAGTATCCATGACACCATTCTTACATTGCTTGGGAATCATGAGTTATCTAGATTAATAGGGGGTTAATAGTATGAGGAAACGCGAAATACTCAAACTAACTTTAGAAAATTATAACAAGAAAATAAATTGGAATGAATTAAACGCTTATGAGATTTCCTTTTTAAACCATCAATTGCATTAATATTAAAATAACAAAAACTCATAAATGCTTTAAACACTTTAGGTAGCTGCTATTTTAATTGCTTTATTAGGATACAATGTTATATAATGCAAAAAAAACTTCAAGTGAACAATTAATTACAATTTTGACATAGAATGAATGATCAACTTTCGCAAAAGGTAAAACATGTTTTTAAAAAAATAGCTCATCGTCATATCACCATCTGACAAAGTGAGTGGGACACTATAAAATAGATTAATTTTAAGATTGTTGATACATGTCAAATATGTAACAAATTAACAATATTTACCTCATATCCATCGGGATTATTGACCTATCAAAAATCGAGTTAGGAAGGTATCAAGACATAAATAATGAAATCGCTTAAAATTCACTCACCAAATACATCTGGTGGTATTTTTCAGCATCATACCATTCACCAGCTTCCACGATTTCAGTTACGATTTTTGATCCGGTGTATAATTTGGTTTCTTTATTTGCCTTCTCTTGAACCTGTTCAGTCACCTTCTCTGCAATCTCTTTTTGCTGATGCGAGTGGTAAAATATCGCTGAACGATATTGTGTTCCTACATCTGGTCCTTGACGATTTGCCGTAGTGGGATCGTGGATTTTATAAAAGAATTCGACCAACGTGGCATATGAAATTTTGGAAGGATCGAATTGAATCTGTAAAGCTTCAGCATGCCCAGTATTGCCAGTACAAACCTGATTATAAACATTAATTAACGTTTGAAGTGCAGTTCACGCGGGATATGTCCTTAAAAATAAATACCTCATTGTAACTTGGTTTATTTGTGACGCCCCCAATGTAACCGACTTTGGTATCAATGTCAAAATGTTTTCGGAAGATATGTTCTACTCCCCTAATTGTTAAAATTCACGTGAATAATTAGACTGGATTTTGTGGAATACTGGGATATACTACCAAAAACAGCCGGCTGCAAAAGTGGCTTTCTCGGTGTTGCTCATACTTGAAGAAACAATTGATCTTTTAAGGTTTAAAAGACGAGTTAAAAACATTTTTATTTATCAAAAACACTTATCACATTTATTTGTATGACAGATCATATGATCGTTCCTGCAAAGATAATGCTCAAGAACCAACCATTTTGACATGATTCTACCTCAATGAAAAGCACGTGAATTATCGAATTTAAATAGAGGCAACTATTACTATTCCTTGAAACTTGAAGGGAAGGAATTTGAGTCACAAAATTTACAAAGTTCTTTCATAAAAATAACAAAGAAATGTAAATCGAATTATATTCTCTTTCTAAGATGACCATGGTCGCTTAAATAAAATGAAAACGAATCGTTCACAAACTGTAAACGGATTCCATCAAGTATTATTTAATAATTACATACCGGAATTTGCCACCAAAAATGAAATTTTAAATAACACATGTTTCCATTCGTGAGCCGGTTATCTCCGTGAATATGAACGACCATACCTGAAATTATCGTAATGAAATCGTTTGTGACTTAAACTTGTTGTTAGCTTCAACTGTTAATTCACAAACCTGTTACTTGAATGTGCTTCTCTCGAGGATGATGATTCTCTTTCATTGAGGTCACAATCCTATGTTGAGAATTTAAATCATAAGCAAACAATATGTTTGATCTGGGAATCGAAGGATTTGTGATAACAAAAGGTGCAACAGACCTTTCCATAATGGTTTTGACTGGCACACTTATAGCAGTTTATTCGGACTTTAGCATTTCGTGATGGTGCTTGCAACTTATATCTTCTCCATGTAAGCTGAAATTATTTAATTATATTATACCATTTTCGAAATCAAGTGGAGAATGCATATGGCAAACTTACTTCATCATTATCAGGGTACATAATGCTCTCGCAAATGTTTTCATTATGTTCGCGTGATCCACAATTCTGGCATCTGTTTGTCTTGAATTTTAACTCCTATTCGTTTTCAAGATCCGGTTACACACATTTATCATAATATAATGAATCGCACATGATCTCAAAAGAGTTTTGGAATAAAATGTTGATCGTGATATTCAAAACCTGATGAATAAGAGGTGCTGAGCTACTAGATGGTTTAACATGTCCTGAAGATCCTTTATTTGAAAGAGCATTTGGTGTTCCTTGGTTCGTTTTTACCCTTGCCAGCGTCGAATTTGGAGTTTTAAAACTGATTGGGTTGATTAGATGAGTCTCCAATTCCGACGATATTATTGTCCTATTGGATGTGTTCTCATTCGTAGACGTCCCGACGTCATCTTCTGCCTTTGTCCCCTTTTCTCTCGTCTTTTGAGAATCCATGTCATCTTCGGAAGAATGTGTATCCTCTAAATCAAAAACCAAAGGTGCTTTACGTGAAATTGAGTACTTGGTTTCTTCATCAGATGATACTTTAGCCTTCTTGGCATTGGTATAAACCTCATCCTCATCACTATCAGATATTATTATAATATCCGATTTGCCTGTTGTGCAAGAGTTTCCGTTGCCTTCTATAACTTTAGTGTCGTTTTCATCGTTGAATATACTATTGATATTAGTCGTAGTTTTGGAGGTTTCTTCTTTTACTTTAGAAGTTCGAGTCAACACTTGCTGGTCACTAGAGTGTTTGCTTTCCGTTTTCCGACTTTCTTTGGCTTTCTCTTCAGTAATTAAATGCGGCTTTTCACTCGAATAAAATATTTGTCCATAAAGAATTGATGGATCCTTGAGGAAATCTTCTTCGCTAAGTATGTTTTTCTAATTTCAGTATTTGACATTGAAATGCACCAAGAAAAGCGCTAATTTTACCTCTCGGAAGAAGAACTTTTCTCCTTATATATTTCATCTTCATATTGCAACAAGTCTTCGTAATAATCCTCCATGACGAGTATTTTATTGCTATAGTGATTACTGCGCCATATTAATGTCAACACCTATCGTATCGTGTAACCAAAGCATTACCCGATATGTGAATATACTGTATATATTATAATTTTCAATGTCACACGCTATATTCGAAAAAGAATTTATATTTTTTAACTTATATAAATTAAAGGCTAGTTTTCAAATAACTATTTAAATTATATATATACAGTATATATATATTTGTAGATAAATATTATTTCTTTATTTAATTTATATATAACAAGGTATATATTATAAAAGAAACAATAATTCTTTTAATATTTTAAAAAGTCAAATATTAGCTTGCCTACTTTAACAATATCTAATTAATATTGAAAAAAATTTCAAAAGTAATATTAATATTTTAATAAAGAAGTAATAGCTATACCTATCAACTTAAAATGTTTTTGTAAAATTTTTTGATTTTTTTAATATAGAATAATTGAAAAAAATAAATAAATACAATTAAAACTACATGTAAAACTAAATTAAATAAACTATATAATTTATAAGTAGAAAATCAATTATTTTTCAAAAGAACTTTTAAACAAGCTTGTTATTTCATCTTTTCAACTTTTTGATTACTATAAATAATAGAATATATATAATATTATTTGTTATTATAGTTTTTTTTGTTATAATAATTATTAAATTGACAAATTAGTTTAAACGGTTTTGTTTATTTTGTTAAAATGGTATAATAAATTCTAATTGAACAATTGTTAGGTATAGATTAATTAAAAGAATAAATTAATTCTAATTTTTGTAATTGAAAAAGATTATAATTTTTTTAAATAGTACAATAAGTATTATCAAAATAAATTTTAAGTAAAAGTTGTCATCAAAAATATTTTTTGTGAAAAAACTTTAACGATTTTTATTTTTAATAACTTTTTATATTAAAATAATTTAAAACTCTTTAAAATAAATATGAAATAAAATATTTTAATTAGTTTCAAGTATTTTATAAAAAACCCAATTAATTTATTTTTTTAAAGTACTTAATAAAAAATATGTAAAATAAAATTTCACCATAAGTTATTTAAAACAAAAAATCTTTAAAGTTTCTTAAAAATTGTTATTTATTTAAAATTTCTAAAATTTCATAATACTTTAAAAATTTTTATCTTAAGTAAATTACTGTAAAATTTTATTTATTAAGTGCTTAAAAAAAATAAATCAATTTAATTTTTTGTAAATTCTTGAAATTCTTAAAATTATTTCAAATATTTTTAAAGTTTTATTATTTTTTAATTTATATATAATATTTTAAAATATTTTAAAGATTATTATCAACTATTTTTATAACACTTTAAACTTTATAATATTTAAAACTTTTTAAATTTTTATTATTTTGTATATTACTTTGAAATTTTCTAAAAAAAAAAATTAAAAAATTTTTTAAAAAATTAATTCATTAATTAAATATATAGATATTCATATTTGTATAATATTTTTTCAAATATAAAATTATATTATAATATTAATACTAATTTTAATAGATCTTTTTAAAGTATTTTTTTAAAAGAATTTTTTCCTATAAATAAATATTATTTTTTTATTTGATATTGTATATAATAAGATATATATTATAAAAAAATCAATATTTTATATATATATAAAGTATCAAGTTAAATACTAGCTTGCCTATATATATATATCTAACTAATATTAAAAAAAAAGTTTTAAATAATACTATCTATTTAAAAATTTTATAAAGTTTTTTTATAAATTTATAAGTAAAGTAATTGAAAAAAATAAAAAAATAAATATAATTAAACTAAAACTAAATAAAGTAAACTATAGAATCTATAAGTAAAAAACTAATTATTTCTTCAAGAGAACATCTGGACAGACTTGTTATTTTATTTTTCCAACTTTTTGATTATCATAAATAATAGAATATATATAATATTATTTGTTATTATAGTTGTTAATAATAGTATAATTAACATTTATTAAAAAAATTTTTAAGTAAAGGTCTTTGAAGATCTTTGGACATAGATCTCTAAAAGATTTCTATTATTGTTAAAAGATTCCAGAACAAAAATTTATATATTAATCTCCAGAAATCTTTAATATATTTTAATAGTAATAAATTATATTTATTTTTATATATTATAATTAAATAATATTTAATTTAAAACATTTAATTAATTTATAAATTTATTTTTATTATTATATAATTTTTTTTTTATAATTTTTTATTATTATATAATTTTTTTTTATGTTTTTTATATTTGTTTAAGTTTTTGTTTATTGCCAAAGTATTTTTTTCTAATTTTCTATTTTTTATTAGTAAATCTGGATTATTCTTAATATTTTCATAAGTCTTTAGAGATTCTTCTATATGAATAATTATTGAATCAACTATTTCTATATTTTTACTACTTGAATCTTCTTTTTCAAATTCAAGTTCTTTTTTAATTTTCTTCTAAAATATTATTAACAATAATTTATAATATTCAAAGATTTTTAAAACTCATCTTATATTTTTCTACTTTGATATTAATTAATGTT